GCCCCATTTGTGCACCTGCTATAGATACAGCCCACAACAACAAACCTACAGGTGGCTGCTGTGGACCACTGCATTTTTTCTTCTTTTTTTTTTTTTTTTTTTCACAGTGTTGGGGATTGAACTCAGGGCCTCACACTTGCTAGGCAGGTGCTCTACCACTGAGACACTCTGCCAACCCCTGGACTTTTGTTCTTTGTGCATGACTACTTCATGTATATACAACTTCAGCACAACTCTCCTGTGAGCTTGACTCTTGGGTAGATCTGAGTTTTTAGATTTAGTAAGATCTAAGTTTTTAGATTAGTAGATCTGAGTTTTTAGATTTCCCAACAATTGATGGGAAAGTGTTTGGGTAGATGATTTAAAAGATTAAAATGAGTCAGGTGTAGTGGTACATGCCTGTAATCTCTGCAACTCAGAAGTCAGAGACAGGAAGATCATGGTCCAAGGCCAGCCTGGACCATGTGAGACCCTATCTGAAAAACAAACTAAAAGCAAAAAGTACTGGGGGCCTAACTCGAGTGGTAAAGTTCTTGCCTTGCAAGTGTGATGCCCCGAGTTCAATCCCCAGTATCACACAAAAAGAAGAAAATAATATAAAACAATTTTTAAGGACTCCTTTTCATCCAAATTGCTTCTTCAAATGTGCTTGAAAAGGAAACCCACGTCTTTGATCAGCCACGATTCCTTCTGAACTCAGTGGAAACTCAGGTGCACACAAAAACACAGCAATCCTTACCTGAGATGCATCAGGTGTATAGTCAGCGATTGGGAGTGATAACAACCAAAACCCTGCTCAGCCTGGAGTCCATCTGTCTCCAGGCTCAGCCTCCTGGGCTGTCAGCCTCAGTTGTCCCCAGCTGCGGCTTTCCCCCGGTCTCAGGGCTTGGTCTGAGCCCCTCCTTTCCACTTCATCTGGTCCTAAGCCACCAGCCCTGCATTCAGGCTAAACACAGCCAGGTTCCTGATGTAAGGAACAATGTTGGCAGTCTCAGACTATGAAGCTGTAGTAACAAAAGTATCACCAGCAAATCTTGGGCCCTTCATCAATCGTATAGAAAGCTTGTAAATACGTTAAGATGGGTGAATAAAACCCATACACGTGTGAGACACTCTTCAGAACTTTAAAACCTAATTAAGTTAGCCAAAAAACCCAGCCCTCCACTTGAGAACCTCCACCTGGCAGGGTCAGGGCTCCTGCTTCTTCTTCAGACTTTCTCGAACTTGGGAATTTTCTGGGAGAAGCCCGCATTTTCTTGGTCAACCAAAAACACTAAAACAAATTTCAAAGCTGTCCTAAACATAGCATATTAGCAAAACCAAGGAGTCCGTGCATTGAGAAGAGAACGTCAAGCACACTGGCCCATGATACACATTCAGAATGGGACAACAGTGACTTTATTTGCTTAGGAAATTTGTAAAGTTCCAGGAAGGGAACATTTATCTCTAAATACTGCACTCACCAAAGGAATGCAGTGGCTGCCTGTCCTGAGGGCACGCTGCTTGTGTCGTTTTGGCGTGCCATTGCTTCACAGCTGAAAGTGTTGACTGCAGTCAGTCATCAAAATCCATTCAACTCGCACCTTGTCCTTGCAGAAGGTGGTTACTTGTGTCTGTCCTCTGAGGAAGCACATATACCATGTCAAAGCATGAGGAGTAATAAAGAAAGATGGTGTGCAAATCGTCACGGAACGGATCTGGCTTTATCCCATCAAGTAAGTAGACTAGACGCCAAATGTCTTGTTTGATACAGAAATAAAAACGATACATAACTCAAAACACATGCACATCTGTACTGGACAGTGACGAGTTTATATGCACAACTGACCAAGTATTGCAACAGCTGAAAGTACATATGGCCATCCCTCAGTATCCTGGGCTTGGTTCTAGGACCCTCCTTGGATACAGCTGCTCAAGCACCTTCTATAAAATGGCACAGTAATTGAACATATCCCACTGTGTCGTGCTCTGTGCTGTCAATCATCTCTAGAGGAGTTATGACTGTGGCTAGCAGGGCATTGTGGTGACAGAGTGCCACCCTCATGCTGATCGCTCACAGGAAGTTTGGGACATGATTGGTTCACATGGGTGAGTATTATTTTAGATGCACAATGTCATATGACTCTCTGATAAGCAGTGATCTTCAGGATTCTCAAAACACATATGGAGCAAGAGGAAATGTCATTACAACCCTGTTCTGCTCCAGTAGGGTGAGCTAGTGTTCACACAGAACATCTATGGCCGTATTTAAGCTGACTTCTCATTCAAGGAAAGTATTTAAGGGGCCTCATAGTGCTGGTGAGACTCCTCAGCAGCCAGCCGTTGCACCCAGGCTTCCAGAGGCTGCAGGATTCAGCAGGACCTTCACATCCCCATCAGTCTACTGCCTCTGGACTCCCTCTGCCTCCTGCCTGGGTTGCAGGAAGAGCCACACTGCAGAGAGTGCCGGGAGCGTGAGCCCCATGTGTAGGAGACACAAGTAGAGACTAAGGAGACCACAAACTTGAAAAGTCTGCAAAGCCAAAGGTTGGTGGCAAGGAGAGGATAAGGTCCAGACCCCTGGGGCTTCCAGGCAGTGGGAGGAAACAAAGTGGTCCCACAGAGGCTCCATCCATGAGCCCCGGCCAAACCAATGGGCCCGGCCAGCTGGCATGCCACAAAGTGGTCAGAGACTTCCGGCTGCTCGGCCTTCCAGACTGGGGCTTTGCCCTCTTCCCCAGTCCAAGGGGACCTTTGGAGGCCTCCCAAATAAAACTGTTTCCAGCATGAAATACCCCATAAATCTGAGTGACCCAGGAGTGTCCACTGGACACCTCAGGTGGAGCTAAAGAGATCACACGGTCCGGACAGGGCTGTGGAATGTTAAGTTGGCAAGACTGAGGTTCTGCTTTGCTTTTCCTTTCTTTCTCTGTCTCTCTCTCTCTCTCTCTTTTTTTGCAGCACTGGGGCCTCACGCTTGCTAGGCAAGCACTCTAACAATTGAACCACTCCACTAGCCCTGCTTTGTGTTGGGTTTTTTCAAGATATGGTCTCTCAAACTATTTGCCCAGGCTGGCAAACTTTCTGATCTCCGCCTCCGAAGTATTTAAGGATTGCAAGTGGGAGCCACTGATGCCCAGCACTGATTCTGCTATTCTGATAAGCCCCAGGTGGAGCTGAAGTTTTGGGTCACCCCTGGACAACTAAGCATCTAGGAGCCCATGGCCCTTTGAGAACGTCTAGAGCTTACAGATGAACTATCAGGGCTCTTTCATCCTCGCTTTATCCTTTGTTTAATATATAATCTTCCAGAGGACAATTATCACATATGCTACAGGTCCTTTTGTACAGATTGGTAGGATTTTACCTTAAAATCACTGAGTTTAATTCGATTAATTCTAAACCTATAATCCCGTTACAAAGAACGAATAAAATACCTATGCCTAAAATCATCAGTATTTGGTAACGATTAACTACAGTGACAGGTGACAATGGACAGTTAGCACTTAGCTTGGATCCCGTTAATATCTGGTAATAAAAATTATTTGGGTTCTGAGCCTGGCAGGACCAGCATACTAGCAAGCCAGTAACATCAGCAGTGACTGCTTGAGACCATTTGCTCTATGTGCAATTCACGCTTGTCACCACCGTGGCCAGCCACAAGGAACATTCAGCAAGTACTTCTCTTAAGGTCACCTCATTAGTCAAAGGCCATCTGAGCTACCAGAGGAAAGGGAGTCTGGGGAAGTTGCCAACATCTCTGGGAGGGCCACAAGGAGTAGCGATTCATTTTCAAATAAAAACTTTTGCATTTCAGATACAAGCGAGGATGCAGGGTAAGTTATTTAAAATAATCCAGTTGCAAAGTCGTCTGCGGAGGAAAACGTGACCTGAACCACCGTGTGAAAGCTGAGCGATGGCAAATGCGGAATTGCTACAGCAAAGCATCAGGCCTGGGCTATCTCTGAACACAGAAATGCATGTGGTACAAGTTTTCCGCACTGAACCCCAGCCCGCCACCCTGGTCCCAGACATAGCCTCACTGGGATGAGTGAGGTGCCGCTGGGGAATGAGGGACTTCTGGGATAGCAGGGAAGGGGCTCAGCTCCCTGGAAAAGACCAGAGGCCAAAAGGAAGCTATTTCACATCAACCAGAGAACAAGTCATGGGAGACCAATTTGATTGTGGCTCCCTGATGGAATTGCAAGATTCACCAATGCTGAGTGCGACACACACATTCCAGTGAAAGTTTAACAAAGCATTTGACAATAAGATCTATTAGATTGCAGAATAGACTTCCAAAAGGAGTTGGGAGAGTGCTCTCCCTGGGGACCTTTCAAATAAAACAAGACAGCCTATTGGAGGAAGGATATAGCAGAGGACATTTCTTTCCCTCCAGGTGGCTTGATGTAACTGGACTTCTTCACATTTCTCGAGTGCAAATGAGCTAAGCAGCACTGAAACGAGTCTCCTTTGAAAGGAAAACAGACACATATGCACAGGTTACTAGGTCAGTTTTTCCTTACCCCCCTTGACCCAGACATAGCAAAGTGGGACCCTCCCCCATTTTGTTTCCCTGAGACACAAAGAGCCAGGAGGCCACCAGCCATGCACAGCAAGGCAGAGCCCAGCTCCCCACTGCCCTCAGCCATGGCCTCTAGAAGAGCAGCAAAGGAAAGACTCATGGGCATGGGTACCCATGCCTTCTATGGAACATGTTGGGGTGTCCAGTGATCTTCTTTCTCAGCAAGTGCCAAAGAATCATTAACATGGCTTGATAATTCACACTGATGCACAGCACAGTCTGAAATGCCACAAGTCCCCCATACATTCAATATGACAAAATATGCAAGGGTGCTATTTCCCATCCTTCCTTCCCTTTAACTAGTCATACAAATATTTATAAGCCAGAAAATTCCAAAACCGTGTTTGTCTAGTGTATAAACATTAATTGCTTCCCTGGTTGCACTGTGCAGCTTTTGAGAGGGAAAGAGGAATTTTTTTTAAATTAAAAAAAAAAAACCTAGCTACAAAATATATGCAGAATTTGTTTTCCAATGAACGCCTAATAAGGCTACCTCTTAAGTCTAGATATGTAAAAAAATTGCCCTTTTCACAGCTGATAAAATACAAATTAATCCTTAGAGGGTTTAATATGTGCCTATTTATTACTTTCAAATCTGAATGTACCATGGCAATTAATATGGCTTCCATTAGCCTGTGAGAAAAATCACTTACTTTGCCTTTGAAACTAGGAATAAATGCAAAGTTGACCCTGTTTTAAGTGCCTCCTACCTGCACGTGTGCGTGTGTGCGGGCATTGACTTTCAGCCGGGATCACGGAGGTGCACTGACACAACTGCTAAAGCTCTGCAGTTACAGCCTTGCTTCTAGAATCAATCGCAGCTCTGAACGCTTTAAATTGCAGTGTCTTCAGGGTATGAAATAATGTTGTTTGTATGCAACTGCAAGTTTGGTTTATTATGAGAAATGGAAACATTTTAAAAATTAAAGAAACATTTTTCTTTGTGTTCATAGCTCATTGTGTTAGTTTAACTCCACACTTAACCCCCACAGTTCATTTTAGAAACGCTCTCTGCATTTCTTTTTGCATGCATGCAGACTTAACCCTTGCTTACCCAGCTCTTTTGGGGATGTGCCAAGCAGAGGAAGGGTTTTGAGAGCCCATTCCCAGGAGTGTTCAGTTAGTCCGCTGCAGAACTGTGTAATTACATTTGCAGAAATTTGAATCTTCCTCATGTCTTAGCCCACCCTCCTTAGAAAGCCGCTCGAGCCTATTTTTAACTTCATTTGTTTAGCATATGTATTTCAGTTTTCCCAACTGTATTCAAAACATCTGAGGCCATCACACTTATAACTTAAGCTATACTGGAGTTTAATATCTTCATCCAATCAAATTTCTCATTGTTCATACAATGAGAAGCACTGGTCAAAATAAGCCTCACTTTTTTTTCATCTTGGACCCCAAATTTTAGTCCAAAATAAAAAGGGTCATTTGTTTTTCTGCTTCAAAAATAAACCCTCCTAATTACCACAGCACTTATGTTTTAAGTGCCTGGCAACAGGCAGGACAGGTTTTCTTTGCATGTTTAAGTGTAGGGTGCCTGGTATTCCGCCTCTGTGTGTTCATCAGAGAAAGTCTGTATCATCTCCTGTAATGGTCTTGGTTTATTTACAGTTTCAGCGGTCCTATTTGTTTAGGCTACAAGAACACCTCTGTGAGTTAAGGAGAGCAGCCCCCTTTGCTCTGAGAATTATGTCACCTCTTCCGTCCCATTTCAGCCCATGGAGTTCTCTTGACAGACTGCACGAACAAATCTGCATAAGGAAAAGTAAGTGACAGCTGGGGTCAGGCTCTCTCTGCTTAATGACACTGCCAGTTACACATTTGGAATTGTTTAAATGTGAGCCTACAGTTTCTACAATCATTTCACTGGATCCACTTTTCATACCCAACAGCCAGGAAACTGACACGTAATTACACACTTGCTGATGGTATCGCCGTCCCGATAATTAAAACTGCCACCCGAGGATTGCGATTGCTAGTCCACAGCTGGGATGTTGTCAGGAGGCAGCCACTCCAGCAGCTTTTACCACCATCTCCTTACAGGTGGACCTGGGATCCCCGCGCTGGAGGAACCGGCCGGTCCTGACACATCTTTCTCCACATCTCGCACAAATGAAGAAAATCTATTAGTGATCCAGTAAGTGAAATACACACACCATGACCCAAGGGTTAAACTGTCTGCTTGGACGCAGGAATTGGGTGCTTTAGGTATTGTTCTTTTCTTCCCTTCTTTGCTGGATATTCTGAAGAGATCGTCAAATGGTCTTCAAGTTTTCACCGGTGATGCAAAGAAAGTGTGGTTTGGCTGCTCACCTGCTTGATTTTATGCACGTAGCTGATAAAGAAATAGAGAAGACTCTGAAAGAAAAAGAAAAAAAAAACTTTACACTTTTACAAATTCATTAATTGAAAGTAGATTTGCTTTCTGAGAAATAAGAAAAATTGAGTAGAAGAGGCTGGCGCGAGGGCCTTCAGACTCCCCAGGATTAGACTTAACCACACACTGTTACTAAGAGAGTGGTCATGCTGATGACCTCAGACCCGATGACTGCTGATACCCCAGTGTCCCCTTCATCTATGCAAGGACACAGGCAAGCAGAGTGGGAAAGGCTGCTAAAATAACCTAAATAGGGCAGGCAGGGAATATAAAAAAGACAGGAGGCATGGGGAATAGGGAAGAGCTGTAGGTTTATGAATGCTAAACATTAAAATATTAGAAAAAAGTAACTGGAGAAGCTAAAGCTGCCATCAACAAGTGATGATCCCAGTTTTAATAGGCCCCGACAGCATGACAGAGGAGGCTTTACCGAGAGTGAGCTATATTTATTCAATTCAAAAATGAGCAATGGATTCACTGTATTAAGTCAACACTTATCATCAGCCTGGGTCTGTGAGCCTTTCATGGGCTGCCTGCCCTCCAAACTCACCTCCCAGCGCAGATGCACTAGGAGAATGAAGACAGGACTTCTACCTGCACACTGGCCTGAGCCTAGGAGTAACCTTCCTGCAACGGAGTCGACCTGGTGTGAGGAACAGGTGTTCCAGGTCCCCTCTGTCAGGCCAGCCTGAGTCCAGGTTTGCTGGGACCTAGGGGTTTGCCAGGACTCACAAACAGAGAGTGCCAGGCCACCAGGGAGCAAGTTGGTCACCTGTACACTCTACTGCCATAATACTAAAGAGAATGTTGGATTGATTTTCGTTGTCCTTCAATCACCCCATACAGAATCACAAATTTGGGCTCATGAAGCTGGGCACCTTCTCCTACCAAGAAGTAGCAGGTCTTGGTAGGAGAGAGAGAACCCAGTGCATTTTCTGAAAGCTCTAATTGCAATCCATTACCATTTAGAGCATTTTAATATTAGAGCGACAAGGAGAAATGCAACGGGAAACAAATCTGAGTAAGCTTGCAAGAGCAAGCACTTTTTTTTTTTGAGGACTTTTGCTCTTTGGGCTGGTGGGTGGCCAGAATTCAGTCTACCCACAGGGCAGATTGATAGATGCATTTGAGGAGGGCTGGCCCAATCTGCTTTGACCCATTCAGGCCACAGAAGAAAAGGGACAGACCCAAAGATACTTGCAAACATGTGGGTGACACAAGTCCATCATGCCTGCATGGAAGAGACTCTGGGATCTTATGAGCCACCTTTCTGTAATTGTAGAGTCCACATTCGGACTGATCACAGAAGCTGTGATCATCAGTCACCAGCATCAAAGCCATTGGTCTGTGCTGTGATTGGGGGAGCTAACAGTCCAACCTATAGGAACAGGGTTACAAACCCTTCCCCACAACTGTAGGTTAGGCTTTTCTGAGACTTTTGACAGGATGAGAGGGACAATATTTGAAGATTGACCTGCCAGACTTTGGCCACTGTTGTCAAGCCACATGTAGGGAATTGTGTATCCACCATACCATCCTCAAGGGTGTGTGCCATGGATCCTATTGAAAAGGGCTTGAAGAGAATGCATATGTCTTAACGATTCATTTGACATACGTTAATTTCATTAGCCAAATTTCCAGGCCCTTTGTCCCATACTTTGAATCGGGATGATAGTGTGCTCTGAAAATCGGGTATTTCTGAGTCTTAAACAATCAAAAAGCTGAGACAGCCCCAGTGCCCATGTTTAAGTCATTCTCTAGGAGCCACTGAGAGGAAACAACACATGTGACTGTGCATTTGTGAATTTTATGGGCTTTTCCTCTTTGAATCTGGCAGTCAAAGTAGCCATCCAGCCAAACAGAAGATCTACAGGGAGCAGGGATACATGTACATAAGCAGAGGAAGTCAGTCAGGCCACTAATATCTGTGTCTGATGTGTGGTGGAATTGTTCCCTGTCACTGGACACCAGAGCTCTGCTACCACCAAATCCCATTAAGCCAGCAGCCACGCAGCCTTTGGAGGTGCACAGCAGCCCCAGGATGCCTGCCCTGCCATCTCCATCTGCAGCCTAGGTAGTGATGGGAAGATCCAGCCCCAAACAAAGACTCTTGTGTGAAAAACTGAACAATGAAAGGAAAACCTGCACACACCACCGGCCCCTGCAGGCAATGAGAAAGGGGAAGACTTGAGGCCTCACAGCTCCATCCCGCCAAGTGAAGAGCAAATGGCAAAGTCTGGACTTCCTCCTCCCAGGGACAGGTGTGAAGTGGGCGGGGCTTAGACATGATGTGCTTGAGCTCAACTACTTTGTTAAATTTAGTGGCATCTCTGGCCTGGGAATGAGCTGGGGCCCTCTTTATTGTTTCTCCTTCCTCTTGGGAATGTGGCACTTCTTTCTAGGCCACTCTGGAACCAACCAACCCTCCTGCCAGGTCCTGCCAGTGAGTGGGCAGGGGAGTTGCAGGAAGGCAGGCCTGGGAAAGCCCAACAATGGGAAAAGAAATGTACAGACACACACCTGCTCCTGCTAGATCTGTTGTGAGAAGCAATGCCAGCGAAGGAAAGAAGAGCCTGCAGGTGACCAGCAGCCATTGGTCCTTGGTATCAGGACCAGAGCTGGGATGGGATGGAGAGGGAGAATTCAGCAAGAAAGCTGTGGTGTGCAAGGCAACCAAGCCAAGGCAGCCACATCACATGGGCCAGCCTGGGAGGACCCACAAGTAGCACCAAGTCACAAGATGGAGAGGCAAGGAGCCTGACCTCAAGGGCACTTATTCCTGGGGACCGCAGTCCTCTCCAAGTGCCACCAATGGCCAGCTGGTGAGAACAGGTGACCCCAGCCTCTGCACACTTCCCATGCAAATACATTTCTGAGTAGCACCTCTGCACTGCCCATTTGGAAGCAAGCTATGAGATTCCAGAGCAGAAGAGAATTTTTCTCCATAGGAGCAGTTTGTGGTTACATTAGCCACACACTGCTGTGGCCACTGTCACCAATAGGGTGGAGAGGGCAAGTAGCCCCCTTACCTGTGGAAATGCAAGCAGCAGGCAGAAGCTAAAGCGTTTGGAATTTTGGACAGCTTGTCCCTTAGGAATGGAGTTTCTCTACTTGACTCGTCCTTTTCTTCCCCTCCAGAGAGCTCCTTAAAAGACCCTCTTTAGAAAGTGCAAGGCAGCTGGGCACCTGTGGTTCATCCCTGTAATCCTAGCTACTTGAGAGGCAGAGATCACTAGGATTGCAGTTCAAGGCCAACCTGGGCAACAAAAGCAAGACTCCCAGCTCAAAAATACCCAACACACAGGCTGGCAGAATAGCTCAAGAGGTAGAATGCCTTCCAAGCAAGCATGAGGCCCTGAGTTCAAACCCCAGTATCAATAAATAAATAGTACAGGACAAACACACAGCCCACTGTAAGGCCAGGAACATTCTCAGCCTGTCTCCACCATGAGTGAGGCACCTCTTATTTCACAGCTGAGATGTGGTCATCTTCATCTCCTCACTCGGCCTGGTTCTATACACTCCCCTGTCCCCACCTCCCTGTGCTATGGAAGAAGAGAAAGCAGCAGAGAGCTGAGCTGGGCAGACCTCACCCAAGAGTTTAGCAAGGAGCAAGACCAGAGCTCCCACCACAAATCTCTCGTGTGTTGGGTGGGGACTAACCTCCTGAAGGGATACACAGTCCATCCCGACATATGACCTGACTCCCTAGATCATGAACCAGGTAGAGAGCTGCACAGAGAAGCACGCAGACCCACACAGGGCGGAGTGGTGTGTCATGGAGGTAGTAGCCGTTCTCTGTTAAGTAACAGCTCGAGGTAGTCCAACAGGCTTCTAAGCTTTTCAGATAAGCTGGGGAAAATCCTGCATTCCTGTAAGCAGGACTCCACTTGAAGGAGTTACTTTAGAAGACATACTTGCTTCCTGTCTGGTCCAGGGCTACACAGGTATAGAAGAGTCATTATTTTCCACTCCATCAAAACCCATTTTTTGAAAGCCCCATAAACAGACACTCTCTGTGCACACATCCTGGGACCACCTGGAGTTGGGATTGGGGCTAAAAATTAGGGCATGAGGAAAGGCCTGCTTGCCTTTAAGCAAAGCGGTAACAAAGGAAATCCAGCCTTCTCTTCAGAAATCCCACATCTGTTTATGTTCCTTCCTATAGCCTTAGTCCTAACCCCACTGAGGTTAGGACTCCCTTGGAAAATGTAACTGAGCTGACTATCCCTGCCCTCTGGGTTTTCAGGCCTGAGAATCAGGCTGAGCCTAGGCCTGGGTTTGCTGACACACATCACTCTGTAAGAGCTTATCAAAAGGACTCTTATATATAACTTTGTGCTTTGGTAAGTTTTTCTTCTTGTCTATTTCCCCCTATGTTTCATTATACAAAATTTTAAAATTAAGGAAAAGTTGAAACAACAGTACCAAAGAACACCTATAAGTTCATCAGGTAGAGTCACCAGTTTTAACATTTTTCCGCCATTATGGTTTGAAGACAAAATGTCCCCCTTAGCAATGACCAACAAAACTGACACATGACACATGTGATAATTCGCTTTGCCTTTGAGCACTTCAGTGTGCGTCATCTAAGAACAAGGAAAAGTATTTCTCTAGAACAGAACCATCCAGGGTTATATCTTCACCTCGAATGTATGTTGCTTTTCCCATAGCGTAGAGATGGCGTGAAGCCGGACATGGACTGTACACAGTGCAGGTGGTCAGGGACACCAGAAGCATCTTCACCAGCTCACCAGTGCCCAGGGTTATCCCCAACCCCGCAGCCCTCACCTTCACACTGCTGCAAGAGCTTCCAGGTCCTAGGACACCTGCTCCTGCAGGAAGGACATGAAAGGACAGAGGTGTTGACACACCCTTGTACTGTGAGCAGCTTGCAGAAGCTTCGGCACCATGTCAGATACAAGGGCTGGTGGATGAGCCTGGAACGGCCTGTCCATCAGCAAATGTTTCTCTTGAGGTACTGACCTCATGTTAAAGATTTTTAAGAACAATCGAATATGGGCTTTAAGATGTAACACCAAACAGTGATTTGTGTCAAGAAGACAGCTGGATTCCCATGAACTGCAGACCCCAAGATACTACAGACCTAAGGAAAATCATAAGGATGCAGGCTGCAATCCCAGGCTTGCTTTGCACAAGACCAGTGCAGGCAGCTGGAGGGGCCTCTGACTACAAGGCCCAGGGCCTCACTGTAGAGGAAGGGGCACGCAGGCTCCTCAGACTATTCCTCACAGCATCCTTCACCCCTTCTCCTGACAAAAAAGGGACAAACAAGAAAAAACAGGTCCTTTTATATAAGATCATTAAGGAGCCCCAGATATCTCAAATGTCCTGTTCTGCTTATCTCCTGATGGCTCATTGCCTCATTGGAACACTGACCTACCTGTCTAGATCCATGAGGCCTGAGAGTCTCAAGCTCACCCATGTTCCTGCACAGTCTCAAATCTCACAGTCGCAAAACACCTTGAGATAGGATGGTGGTGTATACCTGTCATCCCAGCTACTAAGGACACTGAGGCAGGAGGATCCCGTGGACCTAGGAGTTCTAGGCCAGCCTAGGAAACATAGTAAGAGCCCATCTCAAACGACAACAACAACAAAAATGCTACAGGGAAGAGCCCTGGGCTTTGGTGTTCATTGTTTTGTGGTGAAAGTAACTTAGGGTAATCATTCTAAGGTCGTTTACATTTTGGAGGGTATCAAAGTCTCAAACTAAAGAAAGATTCCCCTAAAATCACATGAATAACTAGAATTTTATTCAGTTTATGCACAGGTACACAATCAGCTCAAATGTTCCCAAAAACTTGCTGGAGAAGTGTTCCACAGAAGGAAGGCTGGGATAGCTACCATGTCCCCAGTGGAATAGAAGAAGGAAAAAACACTGGACAGGGCCTTTCACTTGGCCCCAGAGTCCATGGGAGATCTGGTGGCTCAGCTGGTGACTCTCTTATTCACCAGCCTTCCTGCTGGGGAGCAGGTGACCTCCCTTGCTCACTCCATGCTGACACCATGAACCCCTGCCACTGAAGGACATCATTGCAGATGCAAACAGTCACTTCTGCAACTGACTGCCAGCTACCAGAGTCCACTTCCCTCAGCCAAACCACTGGGTCTGGGCTGGATCTGGACTCCCTGGCTGGATCTGTCTCATCTGAGCTGGGGTAAAGCTCACCCTGCTCGATGTTGTAGCCATTGCACAGAAACATAATCAGAAGACCTGCACCACCTAGCTTGGACCCCAGGGAAGCAAATCAAACTACTCAAGCAGAACTCATCTACCAAGCTCAGAGTTTTCTCTGAAGGAGAGGCCAGTCCAGGGGACAATTCATATGGCCAGCTCTTACCAGCCTCTCAGGCCACTAGCAGCTGCTCTGCCACCATAGTACCAACTGGGACCACACTTAACAAGTCCCCAGCATTCCATAGAGAAGCTTGGCCCAGCCCAGTCCAGCCCTGTCTGCAATGTCTCTCTGGCTATCTCCCCAGCTCTCAGCTCCCGAGGGAGCTTCATGCTCATTCAAGACTGGCAACAGAATCTACAGTGTTTCCCTTAAATAAGAAGAGAGGTTGAATGTACTGACAGTGGACAGCCATAGGTGACGATGGGCCTCTGGCCCATCACCTCAGTAGCAGCCAGTCCAGAATAGCCAGGACTTGGTCAGTAGCTGACAGCTTGCCTCTACCAGGTTCCAACTCAGAGCCAATGGAGAAAGCCAAGTGTGCTTCTCAAGACAGCCACGGGGGATGCTGTGCTTCAGGTTAGCCACCTTCTAGTTAGGGCCCTCTGGAAGCCCGCCCTCTCCCACCATGCAGCTCTCCCACTCCTGCCTTTGAGCCTCTGCCAAAGGCAGTGAGGGCGCTGACCTTGCCACATCAGCTCTACTTGTTCTCATGTGGGTGGTCTTTGTTCATTTCCACAAAGGACATGCAGGGACTTCAAATAATCCTTTTTTTTTTTTTTTTTTTTTTTTACCAAAAAGAGGAAGGAAGGAGGGAGGGAGGGACAGTCTTGAAGAAGGAAAGGAGGAAAGCTGGAAGGAGGAAGGGAGGAAGGGAGGGAGGGAAGAAAGGACACTCAGAGTCCTCCTGTCAAGTTTTGAAAGTGTGTCAAAACTCATGGAACTGCACACCACAAAGAATGCATTTTTCTATATGCAACTTTGAAAATGAGTGAGTACATTTTTAAAAACTCCTCTTCTCAACCCAGGTTTAGACTTCTCACTTCCAGCAAAGTTGTGAAGGACAAGCACAGAACTCTAGAGCTACATGTCGCCTTTTAATGCTAAAGCGGTGTTAGTAATTCAGCCAACCTTAGTTAAAGAACAGTGTGTCCCCTCTTGGGCCCCTGCCATCCCAGCACATCTTAAGCCCATAGATTTGCCTATGCTTAGAATATAGATGAAACCATCTACATGGCAACGACATACAGTTTATTTTCTCTATAGAAAATATTGTAAGGAGGAAAACACAAGTAATACCATCTATTATAACCTAGTAATTTTCATTTTTAAATATCCTTACCATGAGTGGACTATGAAACATCTCTTGACATAGCTGAAGGCATCTGAAAAGTGAACACAGTTGAAATAGATTTTAAAAGATTATATTTTGGAAGACAAAATGCAATAATGTTAAATCGAATGATCCACTTAAAATAGAGAGTCTAAAGAACAAACTTCTTTGCCATCAGGCATGGCTGGACGATACCTTCTGCTTATGGCTGTGGTGTCCCTTGATGATGGCTCTCAGATTTGTGGGTGCATTCTCACCCACCCAGACATCTTGCTGCCATCAACCCTCACCAGTATTTTTGAGCCAGTAGGCCCAGGGAGAGAGTTGAAACTTTGCATTTTAAAATAAATTCTCAAGTGTACACAATGCCACTGGTCTAGGAACCCTGTTTGAGAACCACAACCTGAAGACGGGTTTCTTCCTGCTAGGTAACTGTAGGTTTGTTTATTTAGGATGTTAATACATTCCAACAAAACCAGTTCGAACTCTTACATTCCAAAAACTCTGAACCATCTGGCCTGAGTAACACTGGACTCCGAGAGCTTATTCTTCACCAAAATGACGTCAGTGACTTTGAACTGAAGAAGCCATCTCTGGGGTGTGTCCTGAATGAACCGTGCAGCCAAGTCCAGGAGGTGATGAGAGCGTGTTCTTTATAACTCAGCACTCCCAGTGGGTGGGGACACTCACGACTCCTCTTATCAAGTTTTGTAAGTGTGTCTTTGTAATGTTCAAAATATTTTCACGGAGTTCCTCAGATGAGTGCACAGCCAGGTCATCTAAAGAGGAGAGAACTGCACTTGGCTGAAGGAGGCACAACCCACCTCCTCTGTCCCAGAAACAGAATACTGATGCTAGGGGTGAGCACAAGTTGTTCTACTGAGCTGCTTTGTCCACACGACCTGCTAATTTGCAAAGCTGCTGTAATTATGCACGCAATCTCCCAGTTTGGAGATTTCACCCAGAAGGGTGTTGAAAGCCAATACAGTGAAGATTTTCTTAAGCAAAGGCAAAGAGTGTAATCTTGAAATAGGAGCTGTCTATCATTAGTGGCCTTCTGTCACCCTTGCTGACCATCCAAAGCTCTGTTCTCCCCATCCTCTGCACCCATCTGGGGTTTCCCTGTGAACACTGCAGGGCGGGGAGGCCACTCTGTGCCCTCACAGTCAGAGAGTGGGGCTGAGACCTGCATGCCACCATGGAAAGATGGACTCTGGAGTAACCACACTCTGAGTGACAATGCCCAAAGCAGCAGCAGTCATATACGGTCATTACATTTTTTTCCCTAAGTTTATTACAGTCTATAATGACTAGTGAGATATTTTCAATCATTTCCCATACCGAAGTCAATTTTCACAGCCTCAGTAGTAACACCACGGCCTCAGGGTATTGTACTGAAATAGACTCTCTTCCTAAGTTCAAGAATAAAACCCAAGCCAGGTATGGTGGCACATGCCTGTAACCTTAGCACCCAGGAGACTGAAGCAAGAAGATGACAAGTTCAAGGCCAGCCTAGGCTCCATAGCAATATCCTGCCTCAAAATAATAATAATAATAATAATAATAATAATGGCCACAAGTGACCAAAGCCACAGACAAATTAAGGAAGAAGACAGGAGGCTGGGTACATCCCATGACACATCACTCCTACTGCTGCTCCGCCCCTCAAACCATGTTGATGATGCTGTGCCCACCGAGAGGGTATAGAGTCCTTGCCGTTGTAAGGCCAGATGAATGGCAGCCTCAATTCCCCTCACCATGGCCTGCACAGTCATAGTTTCTGAGGATTTGGATAAGAACACCTGAGGTGGGGTAAAACTTACTCTCTCCTTCGTAGGAGGGAGAACTTTTCCTCTAGCAAAAGCTATTCTTCAGGATTCAGGGGGGCTGGTAATTGTGTCTCTCTGCCTGCCAGAGAGACACAGGACCACATCTGAGACGTAGCTTTATGGTAGCAGTTATAAGAGAACATACGAGCTTTCAAGCCCGTGTGAAGAGAGCCTCTGCTCACTTCTCCTGCCATCATCATTCAGTAATTCACCCAACCCACAGGTACTGAGCAGCAGGTTCTCTGTGGGCTGTGGAAGTCATCAGATTAAGGTTAGTGGAGTTGTCCACTGTCCTGAAGAATTAATGATGCAGCCTGTGGGGAGAGGTGAAAGCCCACCAGGACCTTGAGCAGGCAGGAGGTTCCTGTCCCCCCATCCTCCTGTTCTCCAGAGCCTGGCTGAGTTAGCAACTGTGTAACAAGGAACATGAAGAAGAATCACCGGTTGTCACTGTCATCTCAATCCTTTCTGTCCCACAGCCTTAACCCATGGTGAGATGAGATGAGTCACCTCAGAGCTAAGATATTCACGGAGAACGTCTTATCCATTTAGGCCTCCACACGGCCATATTTCACCAAGAAGGGCCAGAAATGGTGATGGTGACATCCCAGCACACAGGACCTCTGGGTAACCGGACCAGCCGTTGCTTTGAAAGATCCTGCCCACCAGGAAGGCAGCTTCCAGCAGGCTTCCCAGTACAATGTGGAGATCGTTGTCCCCAGACATCAGGACTGCTGCAAAGATGAACTTGAATGGTAACAGAGGTAAGATGATTGTCACGGAGGAGGTATCCATTAATGTGGGTTTTCTCTGCCTCCAGCAGTTACTCACAAATTATCAGCATTTTCTGAGTCCCGAAACACCAGGAAGTTACTCAAAACAAAACACGATGGCCAGCAAAATCGTGCTGGCTGTAACTTCCTTCCAATTTTAGCAAAGCTGTATCAGGACCATACAAAGACATGTGGATCTTAAATGAGGCTCATAGGAATGAGGCAGAGTGCCATCTTTGGGGCCACCCAAAATGGCCCATGGATTTCACTCCACTTTTTCTGAAGTGATCCAATAGAAAGGAAGTCAGGAATCCTTTTCGGAAACCTACCAAAGAAAGCAAAAGTGAGGGAAAATGAACTCCAAATCCAGGAAATATAGGAAATGATCACAATCTAAAGTAATATGATCTGTAACAGAAACAAATGACTACATGTGTGATGGTTACCAGGGCCAGGACACCTCTAACAGAGACACACCAATATCTGTGATGGCCACCAGGACCTCTCTAACAGAAATACACCAACATCTGCAATGGTCACCAGGGCCACTCACCAATACAGGGATAGATGTCACAAGAAATGAGAGGTTCTGGGAAAAAGTAGAATGGGTTCCCTGGGAAAACACAATCAGATCTTGAAGTCCTTCTTGGGAAGAGCCCAGAGCTGAGAAAACAATAGGAAAGAAGCTCCAGTCAGCTCTATACCCACCTGCCAGGAATGGGAGGAGCCAATAGTAAGGAAACAACACAAACCATGCACATCAAGTCTTGCCAACTTCCAAGGTCCTGCCCCAGGGAGGACGAGGTTTGCAACAAGTGAGCAAAGGTGTCCCCTAAAGGTGTGGAGACTGTGCTTGCATGGGATGCACAAGAAAGCCAGGCAAGCCAGCCACAGTCCCCCTCCCCCACCTGCCTCACTTTATTCTTAAGTAGAAAGAGGACCCAAAGAATTGTCCCTGTTCACAGTGAGCTGTACTCTTCCAATAAAGTTCTCAAGGTGTGAAGAAGGGAACATGGCAGGGAAAACGCCAGTACAGAACAGATACTTGAAGAACTGCTCCCAAGTGCAAAACAAAGTCCTTATGACACCTGCTGATTTATAGTCTCAGTAAATTTACAGAAAATGGAAGAAAAAATCTCCTCAAAGAGCAACAAGAGATAAAAGAGAGTACATTTCAAAATAAAGATAAAATTAAAGAACAGCAACAGAGGTTGAAATTTAAGATAACAACAAAACTGTTATAGAAGTGAAAACCCAAATTAAAGCAGCAAGTGTATAAACCAACAGTGCCAAAAATAGAGGGAGAGGCAGGAGAAGGCTGTGGAAAATTCCACAGCTCAAGGTGAGGAAACATGGGCTATAAGAAGAAGGTGACAGACATGAAAGGAAGATGAAGGGGTCCAACTGAAACTCGGTCGGTTCCAACACAGATTCAGTGGCTTCCCTCATTCACCTGGTCATGCATTCATTCATTCTAAACTCCTTTGAATAACTGGATCCTAACCCTGGGTAGACGCTGTTCCTAGACCCTGAATATTAGTTCCAGTTCCCATGACTCTTAGCTTATAGCAGTGCGGGAAGCAAAGAAGGAGCAAAATTCATGCACATTAACCTCAATGAAGAAAACAATCCAAGGCACAGCAAGAGGGTGGCTGAGCGGGAGGGGAGCAAGAAGACAGAGAACATGGAGCAGAAAATCAAAAAAATAAAGTCATTCAAAAACCTGATGGAAGGACACATCTCTACGGCAAAAAGAGAGGGACAAAGCTGTTAGCATAAAGCTATATACAGAGGAAGTGGATTTTTTTTTTTTAAGATTTTTTTTTAAGTCTTTAAGGTCAGCAAAGCAGACAAAGGAAATCAGCTAGTGGGGAAAATCCTGGCTGGCTGGGAATTTCACACATGCTGCTCAGCTCCAGGGGCCACAGGATGATCCAGGCCACACAGATTGTTCCAGTGGCAAATGGGTGGTCCCGGAAGCTTCTCCCCAGGCACAGGACTTCACCACGAGGATTGGTGGACTACTAGCCAGGAGTCCACACGGTAACCAAGTGTCTGGGAGAATTCCGAGGCCAGGTCTAAGCATCACACTTTGAGTAATGCCGTTGCTCTAAGGTTAGGGAGAGGAAGGTACTTCGTGACTTTATCCCACCAGATTTCTTCGCATCTATAGTGAGCAGAAAACATTTCCTTAAGAATGGCGTGCATGAACCTCCCAGGGGAACCAAGCTAATTCAGTTCATGGAAACAAAGAAAGAAATGAGGAAAAGAATGGGAGCAAGTGCTGTGGCAAGGGCTCAATGCATTTAAAGACAGAATCAAGGTAGAGTGAGAATAACAGAGAGGAAGCAGAATGTAAATATCGGCTTTTTTCTAAATCAGCAATATTAAAATTATAACTAATGAGAATACAGAAACAGGGAGGGGAGAGAAGTTGGAAGGCCACATATTTTTCCACCTTTCACAGACTTGGGTTAATCAATGCTATTTAGAGTTGATCAATCAAGAAATAGAAACGTAAGCAATTCTTATAGTTATAAAAGTGGCTACAAGAAGAATTAAAATAAATTTTAGTCCTTCTAAGTACTGGACAGGTGCTCCCCCACACACAGTGTGAACAAAAGATAAAAAACAAAAGAACATAAGAAAGTTATAGAAACAATAACAAAACATTATGCATAGCAATTTTTATAAACACATAAGAAAGAATAAAGAATAGATGAAATTAGATCACCATTTATAGAAAACAGATATAAATGGGATAAATTTACCTACTAAAATATTTATATTAAATTAACATTCAGCCATCTGTTGGAAATAGGAGACATATTTTTCTAGAGGAGGATAGACTGTGCAAATTACAGAATTTTAAGTAATTATTCAAAGAGAAAAAGAATGTTTACAGACCAACAGAGCAGGGGACGTGAAAAGGAGATCTCGAACAGAAGGCAAAATGAGAAATAAAAGAGGAGACTGAGGTAGAAATGGAGGGGTTGGACCAATTCAGGATATAGTAGATATATACATGGAAATGTCATAATGAAACTCCCAGTATAGCTATCTTTTTTTTTTTTTTTTTGCAATACTAGGGTTTGAACTTAAAACCTTCACCTTGAGCCACTCTACCACCAGATCTTTTTTGTGATGGGTTTTTCTTTCAGAGAACTGTTTGCCAGGTTGGCTTCGAACCATGATCCTCCTGATCTCTGCCTCCTGGGTAGCTAGGATTACAGGTGTGAGCCACTGGCACCAGTCCTTATAGCTATCTTAAACAAACAGAAATATCTTTTTTTAAAAAACAAAGGACAGGAAGGTAAAAAAAAAAGGGTCCTGTCTGGGGGTTGGTACCAGTGAGAGAAGGAAGGTTATAGGGAAGGGGTAAGGGAAGGTGAACATGGTAGAAATACTATGTACTCAGGTATGAAAATGAAAAAATGAGACCTGTTGAAAGTGTTCTAAGAAGGGGGGAGAGGAGATAAAGGAGAACAATAGAGGGGCGAATTTGACTAAGATGTGCCGTAAGCACTTCTGTAAATGTCACAATGTACCCCCAATACAGCAGTAACATGATAATAAAAATTTTCAAAAAGTCAAAGAAATTGTCATTGTGATTTTTTATCATTTATTTGTTACCACCTTCTAAAATTATTTATTATAAATTAGAAATATAAAAATATTTAGAACTGAGCAGTAAGAAAGCACATGAAATATTGTAATACAGCTAAAGTGATCCTTAGGGACAAAGTAAAGACTTCAGTGCACATACAAGGAAATTTTTAACATCACAACTAAATTGCCCTCATCAGAAGTTGAATAGGAACCAAAAATAAACCAAAAGCAAGCAGGAAGACAACACAGATTAGTAAAAGACAGAGTAGGGTTCATCTCTTAAACAACAAAGACGTCCAAATCTACTAGAAATGATACATTTCCACTAAGTTTGTTGGCTATGAAATTGCTATTCAAAAATCAATAGCTTGTCTCTATATGAATAAATTGATCCAAATGTACTGGAAGCTATCACAGAAGCAGGAAACCAGATGAAAGCCTTAGAATGGCAACTTTGGAAATGTGCAGAACCACAGCAGAAAAGCATTTCACTCATCTAAGGGGCCTAAAAATGAGTAAATAGAAGGACACATTTTGACAGTGGAAATAACCAGTCTTCCCCAAATTAGTAGATTTTTAAAAACCCAATTTTTTTTTTTAGAATTTGGCAAAATTATTCTAAGACACATACAGAAAGATAGCCAAGACCTTTCCATTCAGTATGGGAAATTGAACCCAGGGCCTCATGCTTCCTAGACAAGTGCTCCTGCCACTGAGCAAGTCCCCAGCCTGTGCAGCTGTCTCAATCCAGCAATTCTACACATGAGGAGACTTAGTTTTATAGACACACTTGCTTAGTAGTGTAATGATTCTCTCTCTCCCTCTCTCTCTCTCTCCTCTTCTCTCTCACACCTTGCACAAACAAAATCATGCACACACACTCAGTGTTTGTTCCAGATAACATACAGAGAGGATCTTTCTCCGTGCCAAGTCCTCTTTATTTATGCTGTTTTGCTCTCTTAGCAGCCCTGTGGCGTGTTTTTTTGTCGTGATGTCACGGATGAGGAAACCAGTTCACAGAGTTACGCGGGATCATCGCAGGGGAGCTAGCTCTTTTACATTGAGCTCACGCTCTTGAAGTTTTAGCTTTTACCTCGCCTTCTTTTTCAATAATGGAAAACCGGAAAGCCCTTCGGTGTCTATTCATGGAGGACAAGTTAGGTAAATTAGTTTCTGGAATTCTAAGTAGTACTAATTTTCATTGGGCTGAGTTTATGTATAGAAATGAAAAAAAAAATGTCCAAGAAACGTTGGGCAAAGAAGCAAGACACAGGGAAGTAGGTGACAAGTCTTGCTCACTCGTGTGTCTGGACACAGTGCAGCAGAAAGCCAATGTTAGATGGGGACAAGGGGTGCACAAGTGGGAAGTCGCCTGATGGTGGAAGGAGGGGTGTTAACTTTTAATCTAACGTATTTTGTACTTCTTGCTTTCTTCAATTATGAGCATGTCTTTCTTCTCTAAATTTTTTAAAAAGCTAATTTTGAAATAAAGAATAAACATTTCCTGGATACTTCCCCAGGATATGAGTCTGTTCCAAGAGGCACACACCCAAATCAGGAGGGCTGGCCACACTCTGACAATACGGGCTCTAGAAAGGGAGGAAAAAAATGACTTCAAGATGGGCCATTTCCTCATAAACAAGGAGCAGCCGGAGCTCAGGTCCTGCTTTGAATGCAATGCTGGCCATTATACAGAGAGGGTCTTAGGATATCCTGCTCCCCGAGGGACCAAGTCAGGAGTTTGGTCCTATTTTTATAGGACTTCTTCCCCACATCATTCATTTTCAGCATGATCGTGCTCCACGGTTCAAGGAGCAGACAGGCGGTAGGGACACTTTTCTAAACGTGGCACAAGTATTTCATATTTTCCTGCTTGGAATGTCACCCACCCATTCTGAGGAATTCTAAGGCGGGGGAGCCCTGCTTACCTCCTTCAAATGAAACACCTCACAGAGCTGGAAAGGGAACCAGGAGAGTTGTAAGGGATGGTACCACATGTGTCCTTATGTTCACCCACCCCCCAACCATTAGTAAAATTTCTAAAAGAATTACACTAGCGACTCTACAGCCATGGAAAGGTGATGCTTGGGGTTACGCACCCCAAGCCAATCTACTGTGGCTTTTTTTACAAAGGAAATTAGAATTTCATCACTCAGGGCTTGTGAGAACATGAGCTATATTTCAACACCCTGTCCATTACATAAACATCAGCTGTGCGGTCATTTGCCTGTTTGTGGGCTTCTATTATGGATAATTAAAAAACAAAACCCACTTCAGTTAGGGAAGATATACAACTCTTATCAGAGAACTGGAGATGTTCTTCTTAACAGTGTACAGACGCAGAGTTTAAATTTCAGAGAGAGATTTATTTTCTGGTATTGTTCCCTTATTCCCAGAGAGTTGTGCAATGCAAGTAATCTTATCAGAATAATACATAGGGACATATTTCAGAAAACCAATAATTGTGGTAGCATGGAGCTCGGCGAGGTGCCAAAATAAAGTCCAGAATCGGTTCCACCCTTCTCCCCAGTTCCTTAATCATGGCATCCTCGGGTGCTGCTTGGCTGTCCTTTACACGCACAGGCACTATTGGAGACCAGGAGATTTATTGTAATTTGTGATCTAAAACACTTCTCTGGAACCCAAATCAAAATGATATTTTATAGGTAAGCCCTAGCAAGATTTTACAGCTTTTATGTCCTAAGGATTTTCACTCTGGGCTAGCTCCGGCAGGCTGTTTTTGTTTTGTTTTGTTTTTAATTTTGTTAGGAGGTAGTTAAATCAAACAATAGAAAAATTACTAAGACCAGCTATATTTAAATTCTGTTTACTCCTTTAACCTTTTGGCTTACCTACATCAAAGGCAATCTTTCAAGAACAACTCCCAAACAGAATCACGGCCGATTTGCTTTCCCCAAATCCTTCTGGAATAAGCAGAATCTGTAACAAGACCCTCTTAACCATTTTTTTATTCTGCTGGCATTTGCAATGATTTTATAACGGACAGCGGTTTGGCTCTCTTGCATTATCACAATCAGTGCATCCGGGGATTAAAAACCATTTAGGGCTCAAGTCTTAAACAAACTCCCCACACAGCACTATAATGACCAGTATGCATTGTCTCTTTTTATTGTTGCTAGCTTTATTGGTTCCACAAAGAAGCTGGGGAGTTCAGTGCTCATTTTTAAGCAGAAGAGCAACCCGCTCACCAACATGGAAAGTGGCACCAACGAGATTGCACAGGTGGCAGGGAAGTAAATGCATGAGACCTTGATGGCCACCTCCCTGCTTTATCACGAAACGGTCACACACTCGATACCTCTCCCGAGACTTTGCCTGGAAATATTCCTTTACAAACATGGACTGGTGTCTAAATGACTCAAGAACAAATCTGTTGAGCTGCTGAAAAATAGCATTAAGAAGAGCAAAGCAATCTAACAAGTGCGGGAGAATTCTCATCACAGCAGAAGGTGTGCAGTTCTAGGGAAGTCTGCTCAGCTGCTTGAGGACAGATTTGGCCAGGGGAAAGTGCTGGCTTCTCCACCTCCTTTGTGCTGAGCTCTGCAGGGCCAGCTGTCCCGCACCACACATGGGATCTCTTCCACCGGACCTGCACAGGGAAGGTCTGCCACCTACACAGAGCAGGTATCTTCCACATCAAACTGGCTGAAGACAGGGGATTTGACCCTGCTCACCTACAATTTCCAGCCCCAGGCCAAAAGGCCAAAGCTAGGAACTGCTCTGCAGAAACTGAATACCAGAGCAGTGTAAGTAACTCTTTGGTCGTTACCTACAAGTGACTAGGCTAAGAAACATATGAATTTAAATTTGGACAATAAGACCAGAGAATATTTTCATAAAAGTTTATGGTCCTTTTCTTTGGTTTTCTATGCCAACCCGAAAATGATTCCACGTGTCAACAGTTAACAGAGAAAGAAAAGCTGCATTTCAGGATTGGGTGTTAAACTTCAGCAGCCAGAGATGGTGGTTCTTAGAAAGACGAGTGCCGTCTGGTCCTCGTGTCATTAATGTTAACTTAGCCTAGCTTAAAAATAATATGACCACCTGACAGAGGGTTTTACAGTTATTTCAGTTTCCTGCTTCTTCCCCGTGTGAACCTGGTGGACATCGTAATCATCATTTCAGATGAGAAAATTGAAATTGAAATCTATGCAGAAACATTGACTTTATTCCTGTTAAAATCTCTACAAGCAAAGATATCTAACACTGTGACTGTTTAATATTCTGAAAGATTCTCACAATTCAGTAGCACGAGACACACTGAAAGTAAGCTACCATCAATGACAGAAATCATTCTGTGTGAGCGATAAGACCATGTACACAGGACTGAGAATTACTGTGTTACGCAGCCAAAGAAGTTAGATACAGCAAAAAGAATTCCAGCCTATTAGAGACATAACGGGCGAAGATCACTTTCATAAGAACAAGTAAGAATAGAAAATACAAGGACGAACTGTAACAAGAATTGCACAAAATTTGCAATCAGAAAACCACAGCTATTTCCTGAGTAGCATTAACATTTTTATAGAAATATGCCATGGTCGTTGATGGGAAAACTGGATACAGTAAAGATGAACAGTTTCCCAATTAATTTAAAAGACCAATGAGAATAGTCACAGTCCCCATGGACGTTGTTATGGCACCCGACAGAGCCATACTAAAATTTATACCAAAAAGAAAGAACAAAGAACAGCTAAGAAATTTTCGGGAGACAAAAGAACAATAAGGGGAAACTTTCACTGTCAGAGTCTCTGGTTTAATAATGACTTTTCCATTTTAAAGGGAGAATCACAAGCCCTATTTAAATAACAGTGTTAGGAAAAATGCCCATCTGTTAAGTAAAAACTGACCTAGGTTATTGGCACATGGTAGAACAAAATAAATTCCAGATGGATAAAGATATTCCAGCAAGTAAGTATAAAATAAATATATAGGGTCTTAAAAGTAAGACTTTATTTTTTATATCATTAGGCTATAAATTCCATCAGAGGGAACACACTCTGTCTTTTTTTGTACCAATTACTTTGTAGAATGAATGAATGAATATGAAGATGCCAAAATAATGGAGAAATTCCAAAGAAGATATGGATTAATGTGATGATTTAAAATGCCTAGATGGAAGGCAAACAAATCCGAAGAAGATTGAGATATGGTCAGTGATTAATAGTCTTAATACACAGGGATTTTATTAGGCAATAAGAGAAAGACAATTTGAGGGAAGTGGAGAGCATGTCAGATGCCGTTCCAAAGGGCCCTGGCATTCTGATGAGCACACACTGGGGAATCATGTGATCCTAGGCCCACAGAGGTGCCCCCAAAGTCCACACGAGCTTTCATCTGCAGGGTGCTGGGGTTTTCTCCAGCAGCCTAGACACAGAAACATCCATCTAAACTTGGTGCAATTGACAACACTATCTACGATGACTGTGCCTGTCTGAGGGGTCCTACTAAAGATAGTCTTACAGACACTTTCGCTAGGCTGAGCCTTGGTAAAGCCATCTTTACAAAAAGAGCAAGAATCCCATGCTAACCTGATTCACAGAAGCCATTTATCTTAGACATAAACTAAAAAAATATCTTGCAATGTGATCAAATTTATCACATTGTTTGTTGTTTAGGCTCCACGAAAAAGTGTTCTATCTCAAAAACCTCCAAAACACACACACTCTATGGAGCAAGTCATATACCAAACCTAACTTCACAAAGCATTAATACTCTATTTCCAAGTGCTCGTGAACTTGTCTCACAGGCTTAAGGAAGGGGGATAAAACCACATCAAAAGTTACTGGGAAATGGAGGGATAGAGGAGTCACAAACAATTTAAAAATTAAATTGTCTAATTTATACACAGAATTTTGGAAATAAATAGACAAAAACTTAACTGTTTCAAGAGAAAAGAATGCAGCAACACAAGTACAGGGACAGCTGTGTTTTAAATTTTTGTTTTGTATTTCTGGTTTGCTAAAGGACCAGATGGTCTTTATTTTAAACTGGGAAACAGGGTTCCAATTACTATGGCTGACTGGAATAGTAACTGGACATGATTTTCTTGTTCTTCTCCAATCCTGTGGAGAAACAGAGGAGATATATTTTGAAATCCATCGCAGTATTGGAAGAACACAGAAGCACTGTGAACAAACACAATAAAAAGGAAATTCTGAAAAGATATAGAATACATGGTAATTGACCCATGGTGAATCCCAGTAAGCTAAAGTACAAGCAATTCCAAAAAGAAGGAGGAGGAAGAGGAAGAGGAAGAAGAAGAAGAAACACGAAAATAAGTTTTCCAAGAAGATTCTCAAGTAGTTCAAGATCAGAGGGAATAAAAAGATCTGGCTGTAAATGGCCAACCTAGAACTGACTTGAAGGCTAATCTCCAAAGTTGGCCCCAAGAACCCACATCTCCCTGTGTTCACTTTCTTCTGTACATACTTCCCTCACTCAATTGGAGAAGCCTGTGACTCACACTAAACAACAGGAAACAGGAAGAAATCCAGCTACCCTGCAGAAGCAGTCACCCAGATGGAGCACAGGTGGAGAAGCCACCTGGACAGCAAAAGGACCTAGCCTTCCTGAGCCCAGCCCTGTCAGAGCACTGAGTGTGAATGGACCATCCCGTGCATCTCAGCTCAGCTGAGATCCAAGACTACTGCAGACCCAGTGTACAGCCTCGGGAGCAGAACTATCCAGCACACTCAGAATCCTGAAAGAAAATGTGGCTCTCCCAAGTGGGAATTCTGGCCAGGAGGTCCTCAAAGTTAGATTTCTGTCCACAGAAACTGGGAGTCACCTCAGGGAACTGAGTGCTGTCCCAAGAGTGAAGGTCCCCCAGGACCCCAACTGCTTGACTTCCCTAGAGAGAGGCAGCCCCAGAATCAGGGATACTAAGTCAGAATTTGTGTTCACTACCAAGGCATTGCCCTGAATGATCAGTACCATTTGTCTTATAATTTCATCTCTGAAATGAGTAATGAAGACTCTTCATGCACTGGGAAAAAGCAGCATGAAAGAAAACTACCTTCCTCAGAAAGGAGAAGAGAAGAGTAATAATGGAAACAGAAGAAAATGCTAAAATAGGTAACAGTACTGACTGAGCTCAGAAAACATCACCTACAGTTTGGGGCTGAAAGGAAGATAATGGAAGAGGGAAGCTAAAGAATTAATGAGGACTGGGGCATGGCATCAGTAGAGCACCTGCCTGGCAAGTGCAAACCCTGAGTTCAAACCCCAGTATGCAAAAGAAGAGAGAAAAATTCATGAAGAACTTTGCCTTTTGTTGACAAACATCTTGCATTTTGTTTTGTCTTGTCTTATTAAAAGATTTATCGTGTGCTGTACAAGAAAAATGAAGAGAATCATTACAAGGTTCACCTTACAAATCTCCAGAGAGAAAAGGGCAGATTACCTACGGGAATAAGGCCAGGCTGACCTCAGCTGTGTCTGCGGCAGAACAGGAGCAATGTCTAAGGACCAAGAGAAAGAACGTCATTCCCAGAATTTCACAGTCAGCCTACAGATCAGAAAAAGTAAGGTAAAATGAGGATGCGTACAGGCATTCATTCAGTGACTCTGAAAGTTTACCAGCGTTTTGGAAGAGTAACACTGGAAGTTTTGAAAAGTGAATCCAATATAAAAAAAGATGACAGGTACAAGAAATAATGGAGAGGTGAAGTAGCCAAATAATACAACTTTTAAACATTAGAGTTATTTTGTAATTCTTAGAGCCGCAGTTGGTATGATATTTAAAGTTAGAACTGTATGATGAAGATAATAATACAGAACTAAAACTCAGTACAGTATAGAAAATCAAGGGAGAGAAACCACAAGTATGCCTTGCCACATTTGGGGAAGTTGGGACTTAATATTAGACAAAAAACTAGGGAAGGACATTTGAGACAAGAAATTATATTTCATATAAATGTGTTTGATTACTAGTATGTGCTGTCCTGCATTGAATAATATAACATTAAACACACAATTCAAAGTATGTAAAACAGAATCCACAATATTAGATGATACATTAAAATATGTAGATATATTAAATATATAAAACAATATATTTTTTAAAATCAAGAAAACTGTTCACAACCGTGGGTGAGACTTTTAAGTTCCTCTTAAAAATTTGCAAAGTGAGAGATGAAGAAGGATACAAGAAGGTAAGAACACCAACTGGATCTTGATGGGAGGGTAGAAAGCAAGCTCTGTCCACACAAATGGTGAGTCTATGCGTCCTTCAAACAATTGTAAAATGTTTACCGGAAGATGTGCTCATGGTTTAGTAGAGTGCAAATGCAGGAGATCCCACAAATGCAGAAAGCAGAGATCACATTTTCTGAACCCACAGCAGTGAAGCTAAAAATGAGTCTGGCCCCAAAATGTCAACCTACTCAAAAACGTAGGCCAGAACTTCTAAAACAACCAATGAATGCAAGAGGAAATAAAAACTGGTTCATAACGACATCCTTCCACGTGAAACCCACAGGCACAGGCAAAGCCAGCCTCAGAGGAAATACGAAAGACAAAGTAAATTAACTAAGCATTCAACTCAAGAAATTGAAAAAAAACCCTCAAAATTCTCAAGTAAAGAGGGAGAAGTAATTAATACTGTCAAAAACAGAGGTGTGTGCTCCTAGTATCAAAAGAATCAACCCCTCCCCCAGAAAAACAAAACCATGTAAAAGTCATGGGTAACTTCAATGCCCTTAAAGGAGTGAGAAAGTTACCCACCCCACAAGTAAATAACGGTGCCCAATCTAAGGAAAGAGAACTCAGAGAGCTAAGCCAGGCCCCAGAGCACCAAAATTACTTTTAGACTAAGAGGTCTGATAGTTTGGGGACCTCTGAGGTTCAGGTGGGACAGAAATCAGAAGCCAGGACCCCCATCCATATTTAGTAAATTGCCTGCCATTCTGCTCTCACAGACGCTCACACACCCCTACGCTAGGAAAAGCAGCAAGAATGTGCAGAAATGAACTATTTTTAGTAGCAAAAAAAGTTACATAGCCAAATGCCTGGTGATAGGAGAACAAATAGCTTAGAATATTTACAGTAGAGGAATATATAGTCTCAGAAATGATCCCAAAACCACTGTACACTCAACATGGATACAGTTCACATATATCATTGATGAAAGAAGCAAAGACAAAAGAAGACATTCAGTATGACTCCAATCCCAAAATACAAGCTCAAAATACCAGGTAAATATGCGTGGCATTTTCCAGGGACACAAGGAAATTATTATCACAAAAGTCAGAGAAGTGGTTGCCTCTGGAGGGAGGAAGAGGCTGAGTTCCGGAGGAAGGAGCAGGAAATTCTGACGGCTGGAAGGTTCTAGTCAGTTGCCCAGTACAGTGCAAGTACATTTATATGTGTGGTGTGTTTTTTTTTCACTCATCTATGTATAATTTTCACAATACAAAAGAGGGCAAAGTTAAGAAGTAATTGAAAAAATACAAAATACGTCAATGCTCAAAGAAGTTTGGAACAACAGAGACAAAAATGTTCTTAGAAAAGGCCAATAAGATAGCCAAGATGTTTTAAGTCTGCTCAAGTAAAAAAGGAAAAAGACAAAGAGCTTGGAAATCATAAATCCACACACTGCCAATGAAGACAATGCAATGTATAACTGGACCAAAAAACTTTACAGTTAAAATTTTTTATTTAAATGGAGAGCTTTCTTCTTTCTTCAACAAAATTCTGAATGTTCCACAACTGACTAAAGAAAAATGTAGAAAACCAGTATACACCGATATCTACAAAAGAACTGGAGAAAGGCACCAAACCTACCCACCTCATCTTCTGTGGGTCTGATGAGTCCTTAACGTACCCTTGAGATTGCACCCAGACATAGGAAGAAATGGACGCCAACACTACAAGAAGACACCTTTCATCCGTTTCTTTTGTTTTCAGCTACTCTTTCTTGGTCTTTGAGTTCCATATGCAATTCATTTCTTTCAATTTCTGGTGACATAGGCACACTATGGTATAATTCTTTCTCTTCTTA